GCTACGTTGAGATATTTTCAAATGGCAGCTCTGATATCATATACGTTTTTCTGATTTTGGTGAGAAAGTAATCAGCCACCTGCTAATTCTGACCTTGGACAAGTCACTTAACTTTTAGGCTTAGCCTTCATAGCTATTAATTAAAGGGGATAATTGTCCTGTCTAATTCACAGGGTGGTTGTAAGGGTGGGATAAAATAATTTAAATAACAGTGCTTACTATAAGTGTATCAAATACAGACTGAAATAATGAAACTCCCTGTATCAGCTGACGCCTGAAATTCTCTATAGACACCCCCAGTGGAGAATCTTCTCTTAGATGGGGATGTCAATCAAATGAATTAAATCTCTTCCAATTTATACATACAATGAATGTGACCCATATATCAATTACTTAACTATTTCTGTATGTTGTATTCTAAACTTTTGAACATATAATGCCTCAGTTAAAATTCTAAAGTACAGAGTATATGTTAGATTGATAATATTATATTCTGAGTATATTATACATATGTATATATAATACTTGTTTCGTTTAATGGCAGAGGAAGACCTTGAATGAAAATCTTCTAGGTATAATTGTCTAACAAAAGAGAAAAGCCAAATGTCTCATTCCCCTTAGAATTACAAACCCTTTGCAGCTCTGTTTGCCAAGCTGCAGGAGAAAGGGTAAGGGGAGGGGGGGTGGTTTCAATTAAATGTCAGTGGTGGAGGTTTTAAGGATTTCAAATTACTGGTGAGGTCCCAGACTTTTGGTGGCTCCCTGGTGATCTGAAAATCTTGCTGGCTGCAGGCAGGAGTCTGCCCAAGACTACATTTTATCTTAGCTCCTTTGGAAAAGTAAAGAAACCACAAATCCAGTGGCTGTTCAAAACAACAAAGAAGGTTTGAGGTGTCTTTGGTGTCTAACAGGAGTGTCTCTGAATTCCTTAAGGAATTCCAGGCCTAGGGTTGATCCAGCTGGCAGGAGGTATCGATCTTCACTTGAATTCACTGAATAAATAATGGTTGCCATAGTTATTGAGCAGTCACAACTGGCTGCAGAGCAGAGAAAACTCTGCAGCCTCTTCTGTGAGTTTGGCCATGAGAAAGTCTGGCTGCCAGGTACCACAATCAACCCCCTCTGGAAAGGCAATGTGATGCTCCATTTCTTCCTTCCAATGATGAATAAAGAATCTCGATTATCGTCCATAACATGAGGCCCTGAAAGGAAGGGAAAGCTTAAATTAATGACTGGGCATTTTATTCTTAGGAAAGCTTCTCTCTGTAGCCTGTGAAGCTAATTTGATATAGCTCCGTATTAATAGAATTCAGTAACCAGCAAGGTAGTGTTTGATCATATTACAGGTACTCCAGGGCTAATCAAAGGGCAAGCTCCCATCTTCTTGTGTTTTAACATTATTATATAAAACAGCACTAACCTGGCAATTTCAAAAGAAAAAGAAAAGTGTTATCAATCATTTTATAAATGTTTTGTCTCCTTTCATTCTTCTGTATATGCAGAACAGAATCACACTTAGATACTATTTAATATTCTGCTTTTTATTCAGTACTGCAAGTAGCTTTCCGTATTACCTCACGGTCTTCATATTGTCCTTTTAGATGTCTGCAGAACCTTCCATTATATGGACATACCATTATTTTCTTAATGGGTCTCCTATTCTTCATCTCTTTATCTTTCCCAGTGTTTCTTTGTTTGATTTTTTTTCAGGGAAGTTGGTAATAGATAACACAATACCAAATGTTCTCATGCATGCAGTGTCACTTTTCTGTTGACTTTTTCCTTTGGATAAATTCCCAAGAGTGGGATTACTTGGTCAGAGGATATAAACGTTTTATAACTCTTGAAATTTACTGCCAGATTTGCAGCCTGCTTTCATGCTTTGGAGGGTGGGGAAGAAAATAAAACTTTAGGCAGAATACCACTGCAGGCAGGATCTTTTCCTGAAGTTCACCCTTGGGTGCTTCTGAGATGGAAATACAAGAGCTATGTGTTTAGTAAAGATAAACCAAAATGGACAATGTTGGCACCTGGGTTGATTAATGAGTAGTTTTCTAGAGAAGGCAAAATCACTCACTGCATAGGGTAGAAATTATGGGATGTTTTGCCTTTGTTTGATCTCACAGTTGTTAACCACTGGTAAAATGTCATCCATTCACTGATTATCCCAGGGTATAGCAGATGACAGAATGACAGATGGCAAAATACTGTCATATAACACTGTTTACTTGAACCTCACAACAGCCCACAGAAGTGAGTTTTATCGTAGTCACACTTCTTTCAATTTTTTGTATGATACTTAAGATGAACAAGAAGAATATAGAGGCTGGGAAGGTGGCTCAGTGGTAGAGTGCTTGCCTTGAATGCCTGAGGCCCTGGGTTCGATTCCACAGCACCACATAAGCAAAAAGAAAAAAGTCGGAAGTGGCACTGTGGCTCAAGTGGTAGAGTGCTAGCCTTGAGCTGAAGAGCTGAGGGACAGCACCCAGGCCCAGAGTTCAGGCACCACGACCGGACCCCCCCCCCCAAAAAAAAGAAGAATATAGCAAAGACTTGTGTATCTACCACTCTATAATCCCCATTTCTCTATTCAGATATTGACCCTTAGTAAAATCAGGTCACATAGATAGTAAATTACAGACCAGAATTCAGATTTGCCTCCAAACCCAGTACCCCTTTCTCTACAGACTATTTTCTTGGTTGATTTTTTTAAATACAGTTTAGCACATCAGATATGAAAAGAGACCTGAGAGGTCATTAAATCCAACCTCATTCATTGATAAAGTCAGTGAATGCATTTGACAAGGTCAAATACAATTTAGCCAACCAGACATGGCTGGCTCACACCTATAATCCTAGCTACTAAGGAGGCTGAGATCTGAGGATCACAATTCAAAGCCAGCCCGGGCAGAATAGTCCCTGAGACTCTCATCTCCAATAAACCACCAGAAATCTAGAAGTGGCACTGTGGCTCAAGTAGTAGAATGCTCACCTTGAGCTGAAGAGCTGAGGGACAGCACCCAGGCCCAGAATTCAAGACCCATTACCACCACCACCACCACCAATAATAATACAATTAGCCTAGCTAAGGAGAATGTTCATTTCCTGGTTCCCAGTCCTCTTTCACTTGAGACAAGAAAAGAGAAAAAAAGTATCAATAATTGCTCCCTTTTTCTGATTTCAGGTAATTACATTTTTCTTTAGGAAAACAAGTTTGCTAGTAAAAATATCTCCAACTAAGAAATGAAATCTAATAGAAATTGGGAATTCATTTCACAGTAGAAGGATATCATCTATTGCTCAAGAATTGTGACTTCGGCATGATTTCCTCTCTCATAGACTGAGAAAGGAAAACGTTGAAAAACAGGTCAAGCTTTCCCTTCGAAAAAGAGACTTTGTGACCCACAGTCTAAAGGAGAGCAGAATGGTTTGTGTTGAATGTCTGCAAGAACAAGACACGTTTTCTTTCAAGATAGGTTTCCAATCTCAGCTCTTAGCAACTGTAGGTTGGGAAGAATCACTCAACCTTATATACCATGAATATAGCACGAATTTTTTTTCTTTTTCCAGGCCTGAGGACTGAACCCAGGGCCTTGTGCTCGCCAGGAGAGCACCCTTCTGCTGAGCTAAACCCCCAGCCCCACGAATATTTTTTTCTTTTTCTTTTTATTGTGAAAATACCGTACAGAGGGGTTACAATTACATGGGCAAGATAATGAGTACATTTCTTATCAAGCATTGTAGCCTCCTCCTTTGTTTCCCCTTCTCATCTCCCACTCCTCCCCACCCCCCACCCCCGCCAAAGTTGCAAAGTTCATATTTCAAAATAACGACTTGTACATCTCATTGTTGCAATGGGTCCACCTGTATCCCTATTTAAACGATTTGTTTTTGCCCTTCCCCTCCACAAATTATACCAACATCAAATACAGTGAGAGCAGGGGTTATACCATGGGGGAGGGACATACAAAGCAACAAAGAAATATCTTATAAATATGTTAGAAACAATCACATGAAAGAAAAAATCATTTGAATACTTATCTTGGGATTCATTTCACCTAACATCAACTTATCTGACCTTTTCTGCTTGTCTCAGACATATACTAGTTATCGCAAATAAGGGAAACCATGGGACCTATGTTTCTTTGGGCCTGGCTTACTTCACTTAATATAATTTTTTCCAAGTCTTTCCATTTCCTAACAAATGGGGCAATGTCATTCTTTCTGATGGAGGCATAGAATTCCATTGTGTATATACCACATTTTCTTGATCCACCACGCATATTTAAAATGAGTATCCTCTTATACATTGTCTTATACAAGTGGTATTCATGTCTTTCCACAGCATAAAAGGCCTGCACCTCCTCCTTTCCTCTGTGACTTTTCCATCTCCACAGCAGGAGGACAATGTGTTTTTGTAGAGAATCAGGTGTAGGTCAATAGGTGTTTCAAGGAGAGAAACAAAACAAGGAAAAGAAAAGCTGGATTCTTCCCAATGCTGATCAGCGTGAAAACATAAGAATACACTTTGGGTGTTAGCAACTAGAGCATGCAGCCTCCCTACCTTCTTCAAGTGGAGTCTGTAAGGAGGGGTCATTAATTCACTAGCCCGGATGTGTTTCCATGTCACTCTGGATGAAAGTTGTCTAGTGACAGGGCTTTTGTGGAAGCTTGGCAGGATCATGTGTGCACAAGAATGTGTTCCCTGCAACTGTGTGCCAGGGACTGTTTGCCTCCCACGTCGCGTTAACCTAAGTTCAGAAACAGTGAACTGGATCTGATCAGTGTCATCATCTCCTAAGGAAACTGAGGCTTACAAGGGTACACAACAAGTTAAATGGCAGGTCCGGGATTCATTCTATCTCTCAGCAGGGTGCTTTGATTATATACTGTCCTCCATTGGCAGGAAGAGACACAGACATTGATAAGGGGTTCCAAGTGTCTTTAGACCTGCCTCCTAACCGTGTCCTTTATTATTATTCTTTTTAATCCTTCTGCAGAACGACATGGGTTAAAAGAACCAAAGAGAGTGGAGGAGCTATGCAACAAGATCACAAGCAGCTTAAAAGACCACCAGAGTAAAGGACAGGCTCTGGAGCCCACCGAGCCCAAGGTTCTGCGTGTGCTGGTAGAACTGAGGAAGATCTGCACCCAGGGCCTTCAGCGCATCTTCTACCTGAAGCTGGAGGATCTGGTGTCTCCGCCTTCCGTCATTGACAAGCTCTTCCTGGATACCCTACCTTTCTAAGTGGGAAACCACTTCTTTGCAGGCACCTGGGTTAATCAATCAAGGGATGGGTCTGGACACCAACTACTTTCTATCCTTTGTTCAGAGGAAACGCAGTTCCTGTAGAAAGCAAAGACTTTTTTTTTTTTTTGGTCCTTTCTGGCACCTTTTCTTTACAACCTAAAGCCAGAAAACTTTCAGAGTATCGTGTTGGGATTGTGTTTTATATTTAGCCTTTGGGAGGGCGGGGTGGTAAGGGGGTATAATTCATGAAGGTTTTCTAAGAAATTGCTAACAAAGCACTTTTGGACTATGCTATCCCAGCAAAGAAAAAAAAAGATAATATAAGCATTAAAAAAAAAAAACTTTCTGGGGAATACAATTATGATTGCTTTGTATTTAAAAACAAGAACAGCCAAGAGTTGTTCGCCAGGGTAGGATGTGTCTTAAGATTAATCCCTTACGAGTACATACATTTCTGTATCAAGGGTGCATATGTGGTGCAGACAAGGCAGAAATTCCCTTTCCTTAATTTCTTTCTTCCTTGATTTTATTTTAACAAATGGTGAGAGATGGAAGATTACCTACAAATCAGACAAAGCAAAACAATAATGGCTGTTCGCTTCCATATACAAGTGCAATTTTTTAAAGTGCTGTCTTATTAAGTCTTGTTTATGAACTCTCCTTTATTTTATATGGGGGAAAAAAGGAAGACATGTAAATGACATTCTGATTTTCCTAGCAAAGGCTTGGTCTACCTGCCCTGTAGAATTCTTTGTAGGTAAGGCCCATCTAATAAGACTTGAAGGCCATTCTCAATAGAATTGGATCCCTGCTGACTCTCTAGGTGTTATGAATTGAGGAATCAAGACTGTAAAGTGAATAACATACAGTGGCTTTGGTTGTATTCTATTATCCTGGACAGCATTCTCTTGCTTTAGTCATAGAAACTTACTGATGGATGCATTTATTCAGAAGTCCAAGGTATGTTTGGTGAATCACCTAATTATTTGATCTTCAGCTGAGAAAAACATGCAAATAAGTAGGAACTGGGTCGTACAGGGTAAGCACCAGGGAGGTGAAAAGGATTTATATATATATATATAATTTAATTTTTGTTGTTGACAATTTTGGAGAGCAAGCAAGTCTTCTTTAAAAAAATAGTATTAATGTGAGTACTAGACAAGATTAGTAGGCTATGTTTCAACATTCCATGTTCGTACACACTTTTGTATGTTTATACTGTTAATGCCATATTACTATGAGATAATTTGTTGCATAGTGTCCTTATTTGTAAAAACATTTGTATGCACGTTATAATGTGATAGCTTTGCCTGTATTTATTGCAAGACCACCAGCTCCTGGAAGCTGAGTTACAGAATAATCAGATGGAGTGTTCACAGTGACTTGGTTACACCAGTTAGAGAATAAGCAAAAAAAAAAAAAAACCACAAAAAACTATATATATATATAAAATATAGCAGGTTACATATATATTTATAAATGTGTCTTTTTATTAACCATTTGTACAATAAATGTCACTTCCTGTGCCGTTATTTTATGGTTCATTTGCAGTGACTTTTAAGGCAGTACTGTTTAGCACTTTGATATTAAAACTTTTGCTTATGTTTTGCTAAATTCGAATAATGTTTGAAGATTTTTAGGTCTAAAAGTCTTTATATTATATATTCTGTATCAAGTCAAAATATCTTTGGCCATTTTGCTAAGAAACAAACTTTGAATGTCAAACTGATGTCATAGTAGTTTTTGTTAGCTTTAAATCAGTTTTGCTTTAGTCTTTTTAAAAGAAAAAAGTAACAAGACTATGCTGTTTATATTGTTATTAAATTATACAATCAAACAGATGCCAAATGAATTGCCTGATTGCTGCAAAGTATAACCCAGATAACAAATCATATCCTTTTTTTGCAAGAGTCATTCTGATATTTGATCATGTATTATGTTTGTGTGAGCATTTATGCAAGATTATTTTTATATCAAAATGATAGGGTCTGGAATGTTAGCATGTTGAAACATTAGACTTGGAAGGGGCCTGGCTTGCCAACAAGTTCAACTTCTTGAAATTCAGCGAGGAGAAAACTAGGGCCTGTTGAAGAGTAGACTTATTCAAGGTCAAATGGTAACAAAATCAGGACTAAGACTTAATGCACCTTTCCATCCTCCTTTTTCCTTGCTGTATCTATAAGTCAATAGGCATTTAAACATAACCACTAATATTAACATTGTACCTGAAGATAACCATGAATAAAGTAGTACTTTTGCATTAATTTTTTGAGCTTATATGCAAACATAATAAACATTATTAAATATCAGGAAAGCTAACATTTTGTACAAGATAGCTTCAGACCGAATTCAAATTGAATTTGAATAAATTAGAAGTACTGTGCATACATAACCTTCTTGTACACCATGAGTATTTGGAAAGATAATCCTTGTTTTTGTCATGTCTGTAAAGGAAAATTGAAGCAAAACAAAAAACATAGCCCTAGGGAAATGCTGTCTCTTGATTTTTTTTTTCTGTCATCAGACTTCAGGAGAAGGACATTTTAGCAGTCCTACCTATTGGTTTGAAGGAATGAAGAAGCTTTTTAGCTATAGGTCCAGACACAAGTGCTGAAAATGAAATTTAGAGCCAGTTTTCTTCTGTCTTCCATAGTTATTACAACTATGTGAGCCTCCCAAGTCCTCTATCAATTAAACTCTTCCTTTTTTTTTGTCTTAATGTTGAAACGCAAGCATATACAGAGTGGATGACTACATTAGCTCAGAAGAGGACAAGCATTAAGGCAGGTGACTCTTCGCTTTGCAGGGAGACCTCTCTTAATGGGAACATGCCTTCTGTGGGCAGAAATCAGGAATCCACCAGCTGTTAACAGGGAGTGCCTTGCTTTTATTTCAGACAGCAGAGTTTCCCGAGTTCCTCTGCACCTCAAACAGCATTGCTCTTTTGTGTGTGTTAACCTGTGGTTTGAAAGAAATGCTCTTGTACATTAACAATGTAAATTTAAATGACTAAATTAAATTACATTTTACCAATGGCTACTGATGTGTGGAATGAGCATGCTTCATTTAACAGTTTTCTCTTGATCATTCATATCATAATATAGGTTGTGAGCTCTTTTAAACATATCCCAACATAGATTTTTTTTAAAGGCCTGGTAAGCCTGAAAAGTTAATAGGCCTTCTGAATTGGAAATAGATTAAACTTCACTGATTGGAAAGAAGGACACTCTAAATTCAATAACCATTTATCGACTATTTCCTGGGGGCATGGCACTGCAGGAGGTCTGAGGACATGCAGACGTGCAGTATACAAAACTGTTTCTCTTCCAACTGTACATGGCATAAATGCATCTAACAATGTGTGGCCTAACAGTAGTCTTCAGAGACATTAAGGATTCATAGAGGATTTATTTTATTTTACTTATTCATTAAGGATATTGTTTGTTAATCAAACTTTACCAGCAACAGGGTTATGGTTCTCCCCAAGATTAGCCAGTGTGCTTGCCTTTTTGTTTAAGGTACTTTAGCTCCACTTCTGGCTTTGGGCTGGTTAACTGGAGATAAGAGTCTCACACATTTTTCTGCTGGACCACCAATCCTAAGCTCTCAGCTTCCTGAGGAGCTAGAATGATAGGCAGGACCCAACAGGGCCTGGCTTAAAGCCTCTTTCTTGTAGGGAATACAACCAATTTTTCTTCATCACTACCCCAAACATCATATATGCTCAGTTAGTGTGGTTTCTTTGCATGTCAATGGTTCAAAGGAAGAAATGAAAGAGCTCTGGTAATTGGGTTCCTCAGTTCATGCATCAGGTATTTTGGGAGACATCTAAGAACAATGTGTGGTCAAGCAGTTAGACTCTTCTGGTTCACAAGATAATTTTATCTCAGCTATAAATATGATTGGTCAGAAAAGAAGGAGAGATACTAGATCCCAGCTAGCAATTGAATTAAAACATAGCTGGCTGACTAAAAAGAGAAAGTCAAGGCCATTCTCTGGGGGCAATAGGGATAAAGGCCTGTGTTGAATGAAGAGTAAGACCAGAAAGGGCAGGGCTAAACAAGGTACACATGCTTGCGATTGAATTTCTATAAGTTAAATGAGATATATGACGATAAACACAAGAAGCTAGCTCATTGTTAGTTTTTCTGGTGGTAAAATACACATTATACAAAATGTATAATCTTAACCATCTTGAAGTGTGCAGCTCAATAGTGCAAAGTGCAATCTCTGGAAGTTTTCATCGTGAAAAACTTAAATTATATCCATAAAACAACAATTCCCCATTCCTCTTTCACATAGGCCCTGACAACTGGATAGATACGTTCCATCACTAGGATTTTGACTATATGATTGGTCTTTGTGGCTGGTTTATTTAACTTAGTAGGTGTCAGAATATCTTTTTTTTTAAGGCTGAATAATATAGCACTGTACATATCCACCACATTTTACCTGTTCATTCATTAATGGTTACTTGGTTTCCTTGTACCTCTTGACTACTGTGAATAATACTGCAATCAACATGGGTATTTAAACATGTCTTTTCTATTCTTTTGGCTAATTGTTGACTTTTAAGTTGATGTGTGATTTAAGTACTTTCCAATACTCTTGATTATATATGGGTTGTTGTGACTGTTGTTTGCCTTAGACACTGATTTCAGAGGATCCTTATTTTCTCCTCTCAGGAGGCACCTGGATTGTTCCATGAGCAAGTATGTTGATAAACCTTTGTTCTAGGGATAGATTAAAAATCTGAAAGGACCAAAACCTAGGAGGCTTAAAACTTGTCCAAATATTTTTCTTTGAAAAGGCCCAAGCAGTTGAAAAAAAATTTCATCAAGTGTCAAAGGAATGCTATATTTCTGGCAGTTTAGGAGCTAGTTTACTCCTGTCTTACTGCAAACATGTGACTAACAATTTGATATTAACACCATTCACCAGGAATAAAGTTCTTCAAGCAATGCTTCAAGAAGTTCTTTCTCAGAGTTACCTCTCAGAAATGGGTAGCATTTATGGGAAATATTTTGGTCTGTGTGTGTGTGCGTATGTGTGTGTGTGTGTGTGTGCGTGTGTACGTGTGCACGTGTGTGTGCGTACATGTGTGTGCATGTGTATGTGTGCTGTGTGCGCGCATGTATACGTGCGTGCGCGTGTATATGTCTGTGTGTCTTATCGTCTCCATCTCAGTCTCACCTATTTCGTGGCTTCATCAGTGGCTCCTAGAATAACCATTCCATGCTCCTATCTGCTGCTGTGAGGCTGCCTACCCCCCA